CCCAAGATCACCAGCTATGGCGGATATATCTCCGCCCATTGGGGGCGTGGCAAATTGGATAAAACTGTATCTCCCAAAGTTGTAAATCTAGAATGCTGATATTGTTTCGATTCTTTAAAGATTATATATCTTCGCCTACTAGGGGCGTGGAAAATCGGACCTGAAGATATAGTGATTTTTCAAATTCTGTTATATTTAGGCGCTATTGATTCTAGAGACCTGAAATTTTGTATTCATACGTAGGTAAACCGGAAAAAATCCTAATTCTGGCGTTACTTTGATATTCGATTTTTTCTCTAGCAATTGAGCAGATTCGAGTTATATTGAATACGGTTCATATTTAATAGTTGGTAGACTGTCCCTTAGATGTTTTTGTAGAAAAGTTACATTTTTTTATGTCCTTAGAGACCATTTTGGCAAGCTCTTCCTGCAGCCATGCCTTTAAGTACGACATTGAAGATATCGATGTCTTGTGACCTCGGCAGTCTAACTGCCTCCAAAATTTTTTAATATAGGTCAGGTATGCGGGCTGGGAGGTGTTTCCAAAAATTTGGGTAACTGAAAAGTAGCCAGGACTCAATTATATATATATAAGAATGGACTCAGCTCGTCAACTTGGTGGGGTCTTATCCGCCTCCTTCTTTCTGTTATATACTTTTAACGAAAATATACCCAGATTTCCCATTTTAGATGGGTTCAAGGTATAAAAAGTTATCAAACAATAATTTCCGAAAGCATTCCACACTGCAGTCTATGCGTGCTTATGCGTATGTATATGTTTTTCTTGGGTAAGAAGATAAAATGTAAGACATTATTGAAATATCAGATTAAAAATAAGGTCAGCGGATTTCGTAATTGAGTAGTTTCGACTAGAGTTTTATTACTTGGTTTGCTTTAATATTATCGGATCGACATTGCCCACTAAATTGATAAACGCATTTCATATATATTGACCTAAGTATCTGATGTTATTAAAATGATTTATTTTAGGTTGGCTGTAAATAACTTACATTATGTAAGCAATGTTCTGGGTATAAAAGATCCAATACATAAACAAAAAATTTCACTGAAAGCCATGGATGTTGTTCTTTTTGGCCCGCCAAGAGGTAGGTCTATGTCTTAGTTGATAGACCGCTTTTTAAGTGCTTGGCTCATTATTTACAGAAACCGGCACTCGCTGGAAGGATTACATTCTTGTCACTCTTCTATTGAGTGCGATAATAGGATGTTGGTATGCTTATCAGCAAAATAAAAATGCTAAACGACACTTGCGTCGAATGGCGCAGGACATGGAAGGATTACAACGAGCTGAACAAAGTCTCCAAGAAATGCAAAAGGTATTATAAGATTTTGCTATCGACAAAAAGTAATTGAAATTCAATCTGCTAAATTAGGAATTGGAGTTAGCTCGCATGGAGCAGGAAAATGTTGCAACAGAAAAAATGGATCTCGAAAGGCGGCTTAAGGAAGTGCCTTCATTTACCTCTTCAAGCTCAGATCTGGAGGTACAGCAGCTAAAGAAAGAAATTGAGATGTTACGCAATGAACTAACACGTGCCGAATACGAGTTGGTGGACAACTGTTGGACTCCACCTCAGCAGCTACAATCATGGCTACAGTACACATATGAATTAGAAAGCAAAAACCATCAAAAGAAACGTATTTCTGCGGAAAAACAACTTCAATCCGCTCGTGAAGCATGTGAAAAATTACGTAAAAAGCGTTCAAGCTTGGTTGGCGCCTTCGTTTCAACGCACGGCAAGAGTATTGATGACGTCGATCGTTCTATTGTTGAAGCACGTAATGCTCTTGGCGAAGTAACTAATGAATTTCAGGAACGCCTCCACCGTTGGAAGCAAATAGAAACATGTTTAGGGTTGAATATTGTCAACAATAATGGGCTACCTTACTTAGAGAATGTTCTTTATAACCGTAATGGTGGTAATAACAGTTCTATTGGTATTAATTCTACAAAAGGCTCTAGAGGTGAGATTTACCATAATACATATAATATTAAAAGTGATTTTAACTTTCACTATTTACAGCAAGGATCACATGCAGCACAGACGAGCTTGATGACGAATCAGTACAAGGTAAGATGCATTTTGAGAATTTTTCACTGCTTGCAACGGAGTAGTTTTGTTGCGTTTGACTGGCAAGACAACACAGGAACAACACATTGTGAACCGAACATGCGATTAACAAGTGGATACATTTTTTAAACATTCGATAATGTGTAGTTATTAAATTTCTTTCAACAATAATCTGAAATTTCACAACTTGGAAGCTAAGCCATTATTTGGCATATACATATATATATATATATATATATATATATATTATGTAGATATATATATTAAATATTTTTAAGTATACATACATGCATTATCACA